CCAGCACAATTCCTACCTGGCAGTGACAGCTGTTGGCATTACAGCTGATGCCCAATGGCTCTGACAAGGAAGAACAATTCTGAAAAGCTGGAGGGGCTTCGGAAAGGCAAGATGAACAGAGATTTTGGATCCCACCAGTGCACTGGATGTATTTCTCTCAGTCTACGTGTTGGTCTACAGTTCATGGATGGAGTCAGAGAAGCAACCACAGTTTGCACTGCCTGAGAGAGTCTTTTCTAACAGAGAAGAAGGGACCATTACAGAAGTTGGTTCCCCATACTAAATAAGGCTCAAACTTGTTGCTCTTTGCGTGCTACATACTAAAATGCTGCAAGAAGCAATGATCATAGTTCAGCTAGTAGAACATCTGTCTCTGAGTCAGTAATTACTGAGTGTCCCCGCACTGAATTTAGGGGTCATTGGGCTGCTGAATGTGCTGTTCTTGTATGAAATATGAAACAAAAATTCTAATCACTTGTTGGCCATTAAACAACTGATGACAGCTTCCATCAGAGATTCACAACAGCTTTGCTTCTCTAACTGTGCCAGGTAATTACATTCTCTCTACCTAAATGAATTTTCAATTACAGAGAGTACCTTTCTCCTCCAAAGTGTTTAGAAATAATGTTATGCACTGTTAAATTATTGCCCTGTCCCACCTCAGAGGCAGCTCAATTTTAGCACAAGACAAAGAGATCCAGGTTCCTACAAGGATGCTCCACACAAGCATTGGCCTGGCCTTAATTCGGCTACTGGATGCTGCGCTTTCAGACATTGCTGTAGCCTCACCCATCCTGTGCAACCTCAACTGCTGGAAGGAAGAGGCCCTACCGAAATCTGCTCATCACTCTCCCTTTATGAGAGCCTGCAGAGGAGCACAGGCTGTTTGCACCAGCAAGCATAACTCCAGCACAGGCGGAGGGCAGTATGGGGCAATGGTATTTGGCCCACCTGAACTGAAGTGTATGAACTGGGGTTTTTTACAGCCTCAGTTCTGAATTTGATTATTCAGCAACTCAGTTCAGGCACAACTATGTCTACTTGCATTGTGGGAGAGGAAAGGTCATTTTACAAGAACACAGGTACATCTGAATATAAAATTATGCCCCATCTGCAAGCATTATAGCCATTCACAGCTGAAGACAAGTGTTTATCTCCTGAGCAGTGTAATCTACATCTATCTTATGTTACCTAACAGGCTCCCATATTCAGTCTGGAAAAAAATCTCCTATATACATTTTCTAAGGGAGAACACAGAAGAAAGAAACAAGAAATATGACCTGTTTGTTAATATCAGTTGATCATAATAGTACATAGAAACTTCCATGTTTGCTTACAAATCACCATTTTGCAGAGAAATAAATAATTCTTTTTTGAAAATGACCAATGACGACGACTCATGCAAAAAAGCCTTCAAGGTAGATATAAAATTGCTAGAGAATCTGCAATATGCTGCACTCTGCAAGCACAAATCCTTCCTACTTCTGCACACCCGCAGCCATCCCTGTTCAGCAGTTCGCTTTCTGCTGTGCAGTTTTGCCTGCAGATTTAGAACTCCAATCATTTTTACCTCAGATGACCTTGGCCCAGCTTAGACAGCATCCTCCAGATTTGACCCCAATGTAGATCTCACTAAAGGAAAGGGTCTGCTCAGTGTCACTGGGATAATAAGACAAATACCCTTAAAGCCTGTAGCTCTGATCCCCTGGCGATCTGCTTTCAGTAATCAGATTCTGGAAAGCTGTTATTGTATGTCAAGTCGGCACTGTTAAGAGTATAAGAAGTGCAGTGTTGTGAGCCTAACAAAGTGAACTAACTGCAGAGCAGTGGTAATAAATGCCGCCTCAAGCCATCTTTTTGAAGAGGCAAAGGCTTATCAGAACCATATTGAACTCATAGGAAAGGGAGGAAAAATATCAAAAGGCACTTTGAAGTCCTTTTTTTATTTTGTTTTTTTGGCACAGTAAAAGGAGATGAAGGAAAGATGTTCAGAGCCATTAAAGCTGTGGGCATGACGTTAGTTTATTACACAGTTATCTCACAAAACTCTGCTGGGTTCTTTCATGGCTATGAATTTTCACATAATACTGAAATTATTAATTCCTACAGCCTACCATTGTTTCTCATTTCATTTTGAGGGATTTGCTTTTACCAACTGATAAAAAATACTAAAATGGCTTGCTTTCTTAATTACAACAGCAACCCTGAAGACAAGGACACATTATAGGAATATGAATTTGGTGTGGTCTAAATGACAACTCCTTTTTCTGGATTTCACATAAGGGAAGAATCTATGAGGCTGGAGAGGTAGGAAAAAGACTGATACTGTGACATCTAATTTAATAAAGTGAGAGAACAGAATAAGGAGATTTTAAAACCAGTGTTGCAGTGAGTGATGTACATCACTGAGTGATGTACTGTGGAGAAGATTTATAATTTGATCTAAGGTTAAACAGACATGAACAAGCCATATTTTGGCATCATCAGGAAAATAAAGGGTTGGTAACCTTAACTGGAGGTCCCATCAACTTTACTTTCAAATTAAGTCCTTATTTCTTCTAAGCACGATCCTTCCTATAATTTTTTATATGAAAGTACAGACTTTGAGTCTTTCTTTCCCCTTCACAACATAAACCAGCAGCATTTGGAACTGATGGCAGTGTAAAAAAATACAGCATGAGAGAGAGGAATCACATCACTCATCATTACAGACATGGAACTGCCTATTTGCTACATGCACATGCTCTTCAGTTTTCCATACTACTTCTCACTGCTTTAATTGCTGGTCATAAATTAGTTCAAAAATCCATACCATGCTCACTGAAAAAAAGGAGAGAGGAATCAGGGTTCTTCTTTGAGCAGTTGCCACTTGCAAAAAAAACCCAACCAAACCAAACCAAACAAAAACCCCAAACAAATAAACAAAAAGACCACCAAAACACAAAAAACCTTACATGTGCATTATTACTGGCTGGAAGATGCCATCAGTAATAAAACTATTACTCACACACACTAACAGACCTCTGTAGACCAGTCCCTCTGTGTAACCTGATTCCTGCTGAATCTATTGCCCTTGCTTTGCCCAGTCCTAATCACCTAATCACTTTTCTGTCATACCTAACCCCCATGTCCTAGACACATTCTTTCTCTTCTGTTGTCAAAATTTGTTTTGTTTTTTTTTTTGTTTCTTCATGAAAAAGGAAGAATTTGCAGTCTGACTTCACTGCAGAGGGCTAAAGGGCAGCATTAGACATGGCAGAGAAGCTGAGGAAGGCAGCACCAAGAGTACTGAAGATTAAAATAAGTTTATGTGTACAATATTAGAAATTATTGTGTAGGCTTAAGTTTAATTGTAACTTGCTTAGAGTTCAGCATGAGTGGGCCCTGCTCAAAAATCAGCATAGGTGAGCTCTAAATGAACTGCCTTTGTTAACATGAATGGCTAAGCAGGGAAGTAAATAAAGACTGGATATCTTCAGATAAGGGCTGAGACCCTGGAGGGCCCCAAGGTAAGAAAAATGATTGGCCTGCCCACATGAGCATGAAGAAAGAATCCAGTGAAGTGTTAGAAGAACCCAGACCACAAATCGCGATTGGACCAAGAGGCGTGTGAAAGGCGCACGAAGAGCAGGTGCACAGACTGAAGGGGTATAAAGTCTCCAGCATTACTTTGTCCAGGGTCCCTCTCCAGAGGCATACAGCTCAAGCATGTGGGTGTGGTAGCTGCAGTGAGAAAAGGCAGGGACAGGAACTATGGCATCAGAGACCACAGGTAGGGGACATTGCTTTGGAACAGGGTCCATGCCAGGACAAGGACAAGGGCTATAACAACAGGCTGGGAGAGCAAGTGGGTTTATAACCACAGGAATACATTTCATCAAGAACTTTAAACTGAAGCCTGGATCCCCAGACCTCCATATTTCTGTGTTTCTAGCAGTTCATTCTGAACCCTGCAAAGGCTGAGGTGTCTTTCTTGGGTATCTATGATGTAGCAGATATTAAAATGGTAAGAGGCCACTACTGCTTCTGTTTACTCAGGTATCTTAAATAGGAGGATCCCTGCTCTAGATCTAAGGATACCACTTTGCTAGGGACCTAGCTGGAAGCTCGTGTGATATGCGTTAGAATATATTGGAGTTTCATCTTTTAGGCATTGATATGGAAATATACCTGGAAAAAAAAAAGTGTTAAAATTAGGACTCAGCCATTTTTATTTAAAACTTATGAAAAACGATGCCTAAGAATTGAATGATCTTCAGCTGAAAACCTGATTCCTGTTTAGATATGCCACTATATGGCATTGTATATCAGGTTCCAATTGAAGCCAGCATCTTCTAAATTCTCTTTAGCCAAAGGGTTGAGTCAGACTCGACGATCCTTTTGGGTCCTTTCCAACTCAGGATATTTTATGATTCTATGAATCCCAGCGAGCCACAGAACAGCGTGACCTCTGTTCCTCCACATCAGTGATAAAAACCATAGACCTCACAAGAAACAGAGAATGTTCAGGCACTTTGACTAGAGGAGCAAATGGAAGAGTAAAGCATGTGTCAGTAATTATTAATTTCTCTTACTTATGCTCAGTTTGTGATATCTGGATCCTGACCTGTCCTTGACAAGCAATCCTGACTGTAAGTTAACCCAACAGAGACATCTTGCAAACACAAAAAGGACACTGACAGATGAGCTCTGGTGCATCTTGTTTAGCAAGTCTTATGATATCCCTGATGCACAGCTGACAATATTGCTGCAATATCTGGAGTCTTACTTTAAATCCCTAATGAAGGTAGCTTTAAGCAAAGGTGCTGCTCTGTGCGGGGTAGCATGAAGCAGAGGCACACATCCTTCTGTCAGTTCTGTCAGGTGGAAAATCATCCTTAGGAATTAACCAGGCACTTAAAATTAGTAGATGTTTTTTTAACATGACCTACCTTTAGCTTTCTGTTGTCCTTGCCCCACTGTGGGTAACAATACCACCTTCTATCACCATGTTGTCATAAAGAAGAATTCCATTAACATTTGTAGATAAGTCAGTTATGAGAGGGGAAAGCATCAGAGAAAAGGCTGTAGGGAATAGTCTTAATGTATCAGTTCAAGGTACACTATAATGCATATAGATCACCACATTTGGAAAAAGGAATGTTAGTAAATGATGCACAAATGATACACAGGCATTGTGTAACCTCCTAATGAATGAGGAAAGGAAAACCACCACATATGAACACGTAAACTAAAAATACGACATAATGCATTTCTGTACGGAAACGGTATGGAACACTGCTCTTCTGCCACTTCCTAATTCTTTATGACATAACTACATGTATTTTTAATGTAGGGTTTTTTTAGGTAACGTCCTTAGCAAAGATCAGTTTAGACAAGTAACACATTTCTGTGATTCAATTCTAGGAACCAACAAAGACCAAGAGGTTTATACATCTCGCAAACCTTACTCCATAACCAAGGGACATAACTGCAAGAGACTCTGGCTTCCATTATCACCATGTTATAACTAGGTCAGACTAAATAAAGCAGTAGATTCAGATTTTAAAGAGTAGTTACAAATTTAATATGAATGAAGGCTAGATAATGTAGCCAAGTGAGAGAAGGGTCACTGAAAACCCACAACGTAATTTTTTTTTTTTATTTTTCAGATTACAAAGTTGAGTAATAAGCCAGCATAAAGATTCCTGCAATAGTAAAGATATGGCAACAAGGTGCCTAAAGGACCCAAATGAGAAGAAAATGCACTCAGAATTTCATGGGATCAGGCAAACTGAAAAAAAAATAAGATGGTCTAGATAAAATAAGACTACTCACAAGCTTTTCCAAATAGCTGTCATCTGGGAAAAAAAAGGGGTGAGGGTTTGGAAGGAGAACAAATAAATGTATTTGCTAATAAGCAGGAACATAATACAGCACCTACTTCCTTAGCAAACCGAATCAGTATTTTTGCAGTCAGGCACCTTTGGCCTGGAAGGATGAGGGGGTTGTTGACACTTTTAATCTACAATAGGGATAGTTTAAAATGCCCTTAGTTTCAAAAAAGCTGTCAGCACAATTTTGTTTTTCACAATTAACCTGGGCAGAAGTGGCATCATGACTAACAGGGGGAAAAAAAATCTTCTTCAGTCCAGTGTACAAAGCTCTAAAAAACACATCAGGTTGTCTGAAAAATCAATCTCTAAAGTGGTGTGTAAACATGAACGAAAACTGACAAAAGCTTCCTCCACAGTAAGCAGTTTGAAAACAATTGTCACAGAGTCTGATGACATTTAAACCATGAAAAAGCCATGCAAGTCCAGGAACAAAACTGAAAATATGTAGAGGCTTAACTCAAAATCATTAAATCTGGTTATTTCTTGAAGAGAAAACCCCGCTTCGGTAGGCCAAAGTTTGAGTGGTTGCAGTGCTTGGAAATAAAACACTTGGTACAAAACTTAGCTGTGGGGACGTGAAGGTGTCGTGGTTTAAGCCCAGCTGAAAATTAAGCACTGCGCAGCTGCTCACTCAACTCCACTCTCTTTCTCCCCTACCCCGGTGGAATGGCTATGAGAATCAAAAGTAGAATTGGTAGGTTGAGATAAAAACAGTTTAATAATTGAAAACAAAGTACAAATAAAAAAGGCGAATATCCCTTTGGCCAGTTCACATCATCTGTCCTGGCTATGCTCCCTCTCAGCTTCTTTTGGGTACCTTGCCAGTGGCAGAGCATCACACATACACAAAATTCTTAACTTAGGATAAACACGACTTAGCAAAAACCAAAACATCAATCTGTTATCAACAGTACTATCATTCTGAATGAAAAACACAGCACTGTACCAGCTACTGAGAAGCAATTAACTCCATCGCAGCCCAAAACAGTATAGAAAGAAACACCTTGATGGAAGGGGAGAGCACTGTCGCGTTATCAGGCAACTGATGTAACACCATCACCACAGAAGAAATAGCTACCCTCCGCCTGCAGCAGTTAATCTGCTTTCATGCTAGCTTTCACTGCGTTCCATCCCTCCCCCAGCCCCTAGGCCGAGCCCAGAGGCTCAGCCCCGCTCCCGCAGGGCCCTTCTGCCTCCCATGACCCGAGGGCAGACGGTGCCGCGGGGGTGTTTCTGCGGGTCACAGGCTGAGGATTCGCCCGAAGGGACTTGCCTCGGCCCAGACAAAGCCACCGTGCTGCGACTGCCAAGCCCGAGCCTGAGCCCCAAAGCCCGGAGCCGGAGCCGGAGCCCGAGCCCCAGCCCACCGGGCACCTGCGGCCCAACTCCCCCGCCGCCCCCACCCCGCTCCGTCCCTCCCTCCCTGCGCCGGCCCCGCTCGGCTCCCCCGCCCCCGCCCGGCCCGGAGGCGGGGCGGGCTCCGGGCGGTGCCTCCCGCGGCGGGGCGGGGGCTGCTCTTTCCGTCGGTGGCCGCCGCCGCAGCATGAGCGGTCCGGGGCTGCTGGGGCCCGGCGGCGGCGCGGGGCTTCCGCCGCTGCCCAAGAGCCTGAGCGGGCTGCTCAACTCCTCGTCCTCGGGCGGCGGCGGCGGACAGGGCGGGCGCTGGCGGGACCTGGAGCGGCTCTACGCGCAGAAGTCCCGCATCCAGGACGAGCTGAGCGGCGGCGGCCGGGGCTCGCCGCGCCCGCCCAAGCCTCCCAACCTGGACGCGGCGCTGGCCCTGCTCCGCAAGGAGATGGTGAGCGGGGCGGGTCTCGGCGGGGCGGCGGCGGCGGACGTGGCGAGCGGCGCCGGGGGGCGCCGGCACCTCCCCGGGCCGGAAGGGCGCCCCGGCCCCGGTGGGCGCGGGCGGCCCGGACTGGGGCAGCCCCGCGGAGCCCGGCCCGGCCCGGCCGCCGCGGGCGCCGTGAAACGCGGCGGTACCGGCGGCGGGGGAGGGTCGGTGCCGGGGGCGGTGGGGCCGCCCCGGCTGCAGATGGAGAGCCGCTTACCGCGCTCGGCGGCACCCACCGGGAACCGGCATCCACCGGGATCTGGCATCCACGCTACAAGGCTGTCATTAAAAAAAAAAACAAACAAGTGTCGGCACTGATTCGATCAGCCCGAGTGGCTGCGATTAGGCGTAGTTTTCTTCAGGACTCTGTTTTGATCCTGCAACGCGGCGTTATTAGCAGCGAAATTCTTCCAGGCGACCTGGCACACCTTTTGATTAAACACTGATTGGGTGTTGGTGCTTTGCTGGTGCAAGCTGCGGCTGTAATGACTAATAATAGCCTCAGCCTTGCGTGCTGAGGATTCTGAAGAAACAATACAAGAAAGACAAGGACCTGGAGAGGTTCTAGCGGAGGGCCACAAAGGGTCTGTCCCATCTCTTTTATGACACAAGACTGTGGGAGCTGGGCCTGTTTAATCTAGAGCAGAGAAGACTGAGAGGGGATCTCATTAATGCATATAAATATCTCAAAGGAGGTTGTTGAGAGGATGGTGCCAGGCTCTTCTTGATGGTGCCCAGTGACAGGATGAGGAGCAATGTCCATAAACTAAAAGAAGTTCTACCTTAGCATGAGGAAGAACTTCTTTACACTGAGAGTGGCAGAGCACTGGAACAGGCTGCCCAGGGAGGTCATGGAGTCTCCCTGTCTGGAGACAGTCAAAACCCAACTGGACACATTCCTGTGTCTCCTGCTCTAGGTGACCCTGCCTTGGCAGGGGCTTGGGCTAGATGATCTCTAGAGGCCCCTTCCAACCCTAACAATTCTGTGAAGCACATAAAATATGATATAGCCAAAAATCTGCATGGTTCAAGACTTTTTCTCAGGCTAAAAAGGTGTTTGAAAACAAGAAGTTCTGTTGAAAGTCCCTTCTGTGAATTTAGAAGGACAGTGTAGTGTGCTGAGATCTTAGTCTGCCACCAGTGTTTCAACAAGTAGTTTAAACACAGTTAGAGATCATTCTTAGAACTGCGTATTAGAATTGCCAGTTTGCATTGAAGCTCAGGAAGGACGGGTTAGTATCGACTGCTGGGGCTTTCTTCTGCAATGCTGTAGGGGGAAATGAGGACATATGGTCTTAGTCGTCTTAAGCCTTTCCAAAAAAGCAAAGATAACTCCTTATAAAACTCTAATCTATTTTTTTCCTAAGGGGAAATCAAATGAGATGCTTCTCGAAGTCTTTTGACAATTAGACTTCCCCTTTAAACATCCTCTTTAATACTCTGTTATCCTTGATGATAATTTGATAAACTACTTCTGACGAAAAAAATACTTCTGAACACATCAAAGACTTTCAAGACTTTTTATGGCCTGTACAAATTAGAAAGACTCTTGACTACTAATAGGTTGCCTTTCATCAAGAAGGTAATAGCACTTTATTACTGATATTGAACACACTTTCTTGCAGCAGTCAAAGATAGAATTTCTATTGAGTAACGAATTTGCTTTAAATTTTCCATAGTGAGCAAGGAAGAAATGCATAGCAGCATCTTTCCAGCATGATCAAGCAAGTAACTGTGTATATAAGTTTTTAAAGCTGAGAAAGTGATGGACTTGGATACTTTGGAGAAGGAGGGAGGAAAGGAGCGGTCAATTCAGGACTGTGACTCAGGAATGCAAATTGTCTGGTATTAAAAACTTTGGGCTAGTGCTATAATTTTGTCAGGCTTTTGCTACCTCAGGGATCAGACTTGAAAGCTGTGAAGAGCTGGAGCCTGCATTTTTCTCAGTAGACTTCTTGTTTCATTGACACTAGTGCAGCAACAGAAAAATAAGATATTAAACATAACCATTTGGTGTTAAGGCCTGTTACGTTAATTCTGCTGAGCAATTTCTGCCTTGAAGTTTGTGCTTGGCAATCAGTAGAATTGAACTTAACAGAAAGTGCTGAAGTCCTTTATGGGGTTGAAACAGGAATGCTGCTGGTGGAAATGCTCCCACTTTTCCTGGGAAACAAAGATGGTCTGTCTCCAGGTTGAGTTTTTTGGCTCAACTCACTCCTAATTGCTCCTTGAACAGTTTTTCACTGCAGTTTTGTCCATCAAACATTTAGCTCTGAGGCACATCTCTCTGGTGGGTCTCATGTTCACATGTCATAGCGTTAAGTCCAGTTTTCCTAAATCTTGGTTTGCGAAGCCTAGCCATGATGATGATGAAGTCCAGTTTCACAGCATCCTTTCTTACCTGAGGTGAGCAGTTTGTTTAGGTTACAAAGGCAAATGGCGATGGGTAAGAAAAGTAGTGTAGATCTGAGGTGGTGGAAAGGCTTATCTTTAACATCTTGGCAGCTAGCACAGTGTTCCATGTCTTGTCCTAAAGTCCTTGCGGTTAGTCTGTGCTTCATGTTTTGGCTTCATGACCTCACCAAGTAATTTCTGCTGTTCCTCAAAGATGCCGTATCCTCCTTTTCTGAGTTGGAGTGGCATCGTGGTGTATGGGAATTTTTTTTCCTCCTCCTACCTTTATAAAAAGGAGCTGTTAGGATAGTTCAGCAATGTCAATGGAAGATCTTCATGCTAGCTTCTTGTGGTTTTCTTGTGTGCTGAGTGTATCTGTCCTTAGAATTTAGACATGCAAGGAGAGATTTTTGAGGTAAGAGTTCTCATTCTGGGTAAAACAGAGTCTCGTGTTCGGGCTGCAGTAAAGGCTACTAACATTATTTCTTTCTTTTTCGTCTTAACATGGGCTGTGGCAAAAACCTCTGATAAAACTGAGGCTTACTGGGAAGAGCTTGTCAGCTTAACACTTACTTGAAAAATTAGGCAGAAATGGCTGTTTCTTGAAAATGTTAAATTGGGTAGTGGCTTTAATTTACTGCAAGACAAAGCCTAGATTTAATTTGATCTGACTTGTATAGGTGACAATATCAAGTGAACTCTCCATTTTGTTGCCAGAGAGGGAGACTACACTGAGTTAAATGACTGGCTTTGTTTCCCTTTCCAGTGCAACATACTGGTTTTGTAGCTGACATAAAGATGCGGGCTACAAGGTAACCTTTTTTTAATGGTGCTCCAAATGTTTAATTAGCTAATGGAGCTAATACCTGAGAAGTTTGAGGACCAAAATATTAGGTGCTTAAATATAAATCAAGCCTATGCTTCAGTGGCACATGGAAAATACTCTGAAGATTTGCAGTCTACAATATATGTCCTTGTCTCACTTCTGCTTTAGTTTTGCTGCTTTCAAGTAGTGTGCTATATTGCACTAGACAGAACTGGTCTTGTCAAGATGCTATGTATGTCAATAGAGAAAAGAAAATTAGAGTAGAAATACTTAGCCAGGAAGTGGAAAACCAGTTAGAGTCCTATTTAAAACTTTTACTCCTGGCCGTTTCAAACAAAAACAGAGTGCCTGTGATATGTGAGAGAGAAAGATGGTGTCAAAGACATGCAGTGTTTCTGGAAAAATACCTCTCTTGCATAATGACAAATATAGACTTTATTCATTTATCTGTAATTCTGCTGGTGGGAGTGAATTGCTTATTGGAAGTTAAGCACGGTGTTGTGATACAGCAACATTTTTAAGAACGCTTGGCATATGTTCTGCACTATTGCATCACATTGTTCCTTGTTCTTTTGTCCAGTTTATCCCATGTAAACGAGGTGTCTGTCACCTTAAAAGATGAATTTTACTTCCATATTTCATAACTGTTCAAGGTGGAAAAAAGCTTGAACCTCTTGTTTAGCAACAAAAGATATATAGCATTACACTGCCAGTAAACAAACAATTGTAATAATGATTGTTTGTTTATTTCTTTGAATTCTTCCCCCTTCAGGTTGGCCTTCGGCAGCTGGATATGTCATTGCTGTGTCAGCTGTATTCCCTGTATGAATCAATTCAAGAATACAAAGGTGCCTGCCAAGCTGACTCTAATGCAGACTGCTCATACGCCCTGGAAAATGGATTTTTTGATGAAGAGGAGGAATACTTCTAGAAGCAGAAAGATTGACCTCCAGGCTGACTGAACTGAGGTTCTTTTGTCCTTCTTTCCCTGTAACACACCTCAGCAAGAACAACTGGAATCTGGATCCCTCTTCCTGAGGAGGAAGACTCAGCTATCCCAAGTTGTGTTAAATTCACTTATTTTAACAGGCTGTCAGTACAAGTTACTCATGCAAATACCACTTGAGGAAAGTGCTGTACTCTTAACTTTTGAAGAGTCCTCAGACATGCTTGACAAGAGTTTTCAATTTAATTTGCAAGGTGGGTGTTTTCAACTTACAAGCATTGGTAGCTTATAACTGGAATTTTAGTTGTAGAAAACAACAGTGACTTCCTGAGTTGTAATAACTTAGTAAGGGGGCAGGGAAGCCTCTGCTGTGATGTAAATAGCTATAGGTGGTGGGTTTTTTTAGGGGGGAGGTCAGTGATATTGATAAATGCATTTTGAACAGGCATCTGGATGCACGCACATCCTCAGCACTACTAAGCTAGTTCTGCTCTTACCGGCTGCATCCAGTTTTGTACTGGGTGGATTGTTTACACAGTTTAAATTTTTTTTTCTCCTTAGGCTAATTTATTCTTAGCTTACAAGCTGTACATGTGATAGTGAATGTTATCAGCAGGGGTTTTTTTTCTGTTGATCTAATTCACTTTCTTGGTACTGCCACTTGGCGTTAACTTTTATACTATTCTCTGGATATCTTGCATCTGCATAGCTCTTTGACCTGCTAAACACTGTTCTGAAATGGTTTGCTTAGCTTTTACTGTACTGCATAGTAAAAGCACAGATTCAAACATAGTCTGTCTGCCACTATGTGGCTTGGAGTAACGTGAACTCTTGTGCAAGTGTTCTTGATCATATGAAGATTAAGGAAACCTCTCATATGACACAATGGGACAAATTGCAATATTTTATACTGGGTGAACTTTGTTTCTGTAAGGTAGACAACAGCTCTTTTTAAAAATGCAAAATAAGTATTTTGAACACATTGCATATGTTAAAACTTTTTATACTAACTTGTTCTTTGAAGTATAACTTATTTTTGTTTTCAGAATTTACTAAAGCACTTAGTTAAGTTGTTATTATTTCATAGTGTGTACACGTAATGCTTAATCAGCTGAGAGTTGCCAACTATGTGAGTCTTCACCCTTCTCTATTTTAAGTAAAATCAACTCCCAATGCGATTTTCATTTCTTAACTTTAATTCTAAAGATTGCTGTAGAGCACAGTGCCTGAATCCTGACACAAGCTAATAATTAAGGGCTTCAATCTCAAAGAGTTTTTGCATGGTTCATGTCTGGTATGTGTACATTTTGCAGGAAGAATTGGAGATCACATTCTGGGGTACCTCCTCTCTTAGTTTTTAGCAGAGGCTAGGATGTTGCAGTGATAAAAGCCAAGAGACTTCTAGGGTGCTTTCCCTCTAAAACTGGCTTATTGCAGTGGAATTCAAAGGCCACAAGAGTAAAGACTGTGCTGTAATTGTGTATGTGTACGAGTTCTTAATCTAGTCTGTGGTGATGGTTGGATTTTTTTTTAATGTTAATTCTGGTCTAATTACTTCACTCACACAAAACTAAACTGAATGATAGGGAAAACACAGATAATCCAGATAGCTACATCTGTACTTAAAAAAGTTGTGTCCCTATGTGTGTATACATGTACATGTACACACATATACACAACTTTATGCTTTGACTAAAGAATGTATCAGCTTTTAATATAATTTGCTGTGCTTTTGGTATTTACATGAGGCTTTTTCTAGTTTGTTGAAGTACTGCTATTTTCTTGCTCTTTCTCCAAAAATAAAAAGCATGATGTTTAGCATAACTTTTTAATGTTGTGTGTATTTTAATTTACCTTTTCAGTGAATCCAAACCCTACCCCCTTTCCCAACCCTCCCATAAGAAAACTAGGACTAGTCATCACCCCTGGACCAAAGCAAGCAATTTTTAAGTTACAGTGGAAAAGGTTCTACCTACCTATATTCGGAATGGAATTTCCTACTGCTCTATCTTAATTGGATTTTACTTGTTTCTGAATTCAACAGAGAAAATTCTGTCTCTACTACTAGAATTAATGATTCTGTATTACAGATCTTTAGAGAATGCCACTCATTAATAGACTCACTGGTGAGAATAGACTTCAGCAAAATTCACAGTACTTTCTCTTACATAAACTTAAAAAGCAAAAGGATTTATCATGCTTGTGATTTGGGCAACATGGAATGTTTAGCTGGTATTCCCTGTACCAAGGGAAGCATAAAAGTCTTAAGGCATCACTCCACAACTTCTGGACTGGAAAACAGCATAGATTACTAGGACTTGCAAAGTTTTCAGCACCTTGTCCCTTTTAATAACACCATCTTGCATGGGAGAGAAGTTGCAGTCTATATTCCTAAGGCAAATTCAAATGCCATGAAGGCTGGCTAGCCAGATGAAGGTTTTAAAAAGAAGAAATTTGTTATTAAGTCTATAAGCAGTTGTTCCAGAGGCAGATTTCCATGCCTGGTGTTGCAGTTTTGCGTTGTATCTCCTTACCGCATTATAATAGCACAGAGCAGGGAAATTGCTCTGAAAGAGGTGTGCGGTGGGAAAGCACAGCTTAAGTTCTGAGTAATTGTTACATGTTTCAAGTTACGAGCTTCAAGTCAGAGTTTGGCTTTGTGCGTGATGGAACAAAGCTGTGTTACTACAAAAGCTTGCGACCCTTGGTCCAAACCACATACCAACACACCTTTCCCATTTTTACTCCATAACCTCACTTTGTCTTACACGTAACTTTTTAAGGTATCTTTTAAGGGTATAACGAAAGAACCTCTTATTCCCTACCCAGTGAACACTGCAGAACTCTTCCAGTCCCACACAGCACAGCCAGTAATGAGCAAGCCCAGGAAAAGACGGTTTTACAAGGAAAGAAGGGCAGTCAGACTCCTCCTGCGCAGAGCTGGAAAACAATTATTGAGTACAGCAGTTCAAAAGGCAATCTGCCATGGGTAACTCTTCACTGGCCTTTCTCCAAAGGGCCTACAGATGTGGTAAAGCAGTTAGAAACAATTGCTAGGTCTCCATTAGCTGTATTTGAGGTTGGGGTTTTGTTTGTTTGTTTGTTTTTAACAGCATACCACCCTCATTCTATTGCTATGACAACTGCAGAGTCATGCTGCCATAATTACATTACAATCTAGTCTCCTGGAAGTAGTCTACAAAAAGAGAAGAGTCTGGAAGAAGTGCTCTACTCTGGAGAAAGTAGGTGCCAAAAAACACAGGTGGCTGATACCATGGCAGACATAACCGGTGAGCATTTAGGTTCAGCTCCAGGTGAATTCACTGTCAGTCCTATTGATTTTCGTGGGGATGGACTTCCAAGCAGGGATCTTTTCCCAAAATCAGAACTGCTGTTTTTTGTCTTGTTTATTTCCATGACCGTGAAAGAGCTGCATGCTATCTCTACTATGATACAAGAGAGACTCAAATACGCACTAAAAATCTACTACTAAAAGGTACTGCTTTAGTGCAGTGAAACACAGTAGGCGATCATAAGAATAACTTGTAACAGTTGTAATAGTGTTGCTTCAAAGAAAGAGTTTTCCGATAAAGGTAGGGCTAAATTGCACTCTGAGTAGTTTGGATGCTTGCTGAAGTTGAGTTTTTAATACAATATTTAGTGTATTTGTGTGAAATTGGAAGACTAGGAGAAGGATGCAAAAATTATTATAGTATTTGTAATTAATTTAGTTTCTAATCATAGGTAACTACATCATTTTACATGACCTTTAAAATAAGTTGATTTTTAAAACTATGTTTACAATTTCTTGTAAATAAGACATTTTGCAAAATTTTAAATGCAAAAAAGAGAGTAGCAAAGCCCCCAGCATCTTTATGAAAAAGTTGATCCACTTGGTATCTATTGACAAACCTAAGGTTTTTGTCATGTTTAGCCTACATCCTAAGGAAAGAATGCTTATGCAGTAACTCTGTCCAGGCATTTTCTGTCAGTCTGTTTGCTATAGACTAGATCTGATAGGACAGAAGTTGGAGAGTTGCTCTGTTTTTACAAACCTTGTAAAAATTTGGAGCTGGAGAAGGAGAGAGACTCACTGCTCCTTCCATGGACAGGATGACAGCACTTTTGGTTTCTATTTGGCCACCAAGCTTCTAGAAAGCGAAGGCTGTGTGGTCAGGCAGCTGCTGACAGCACTGCAGTAGCCAGGGCACATGCTGTGTCTTCCTCAGTGCTGGGTGTTAGCGGGCAGTGTGGGAAGGAGGTGAGTCTTCAGCACATCTTTTGGCCCTTGAGGATGAGAACTAGGGATACGGCAAGGGACCCCAGGAAGATCCCTGATGTTGCCTTCAGGACTAAATGGGATGCTGGAAGGGGAGTGTTATGGGAAGGGATATCACAGTTTCTGGAGGCTGGTGCTTGGCACAGTCTGGTAGGAGATGCTGAGATCCTGGGACACGAATTAAGATCCCATGTTTCATTAGTTCTGCTGCTGACAGCTTGGGAGAGTTTTCATGTCCCTTTTCAACCTGTTTTATGCTGCTTGTCATGTATTTTTAACGTGGCAGTCATTTGTTGCAGGTACATGCTTTTGCTTAACTGGAAAGAATGTGTTTTATTTGCTGTGCTGCCTAGCTAAAGCCATTCATTTTGATTGAGGAATGAGATTGCTCTGAGGGCAAAGGGAACTGATTCTCCCACTGTGGTGTTCAGCTGACTGCTGGAGAGGAATATGAAATGGGAGGATTAATCAGGTACATGTCAAAGGGAACCCTATCAACAGGTCTTTTCTCCAGTGTCAGTTCTGTGTCCTTCAGCCACTTAGAAAGAATTTACTCTTGTTTTTGTGATGCCTGCCTGTAGAAGATACATTACCACAGCAGCCTGAGGTTCATGTTCCGTTTCGTATACCAACTTCACTTTCTCAGAAAACTCCTCAGAAGTACATTTTTCCATCCATTGTTATCTTTGGTTTATTTGAAGTTGCTATATTTACCTCTAGACAACACTGTGCGACCTAAGGAAATAACTTGTTTGTTCTCTTAGCAAAGTAGTTAAAAGGTTTTTCTTATTTGAAAAGTCATCTTCAATTGATTTAAAAATTTCCTGGGAATTTCAAAGCTCCCTGTTGTGCTAGATCTTCCTAACTGCCTGTTCTATGATCCTGGTGACTCAAACTCTGCAGGTAGCTTTACAAACACCAGGGTTGTGCTGTGGCTCAAAGAACTTGGGGGATCTATGCAGATGTGGTCTGTGCAGAGAGACAAGCTCTCCTGAGCTGAGAAGGTCTGGAAGAGCAGAAGTAGCCTCACCGAATCCAGATATGCTCCAGGGCATATTAATGTGGATTGTGAGGCTGGATGTGTGCTGGACTGGCATCTGCAGCTTGTGGGGCAATTGTGCCTTGTAAGGAATGAAGAGGATTAGCAAGGGGTTCTCACTCAGATGACCTGTAGTGAGTTTGGCTATTTGGTTTTAAATGACAGTGGAGCTTTGGAGGGGATGAATATTCACTGCAGAAGTCTCTTTCCTTTAGTTTTTTGGCCCTCTTTCTTTCATCCTTTCTATTTGGGAAACTTAATTAGATGAATGTGGAAACAACCAGCTCTGAGTAATGAAGACCACATCTGATTTCAGAGGAATGTGCTTTTAGCAGGAGAATTTACATTTTTCAGATAAGGTTGGTATGCAATCTAAAAAGACAAAGCCATTTGCTATTGAAATACACAGACTTGTGACTATTTCATCTCTTCTCTGAACTGTTGCCACAGGTTTTAAATGCATTTGTGCTAAGACATTATTAAGATAATGTCATCAAGAGAATGTAGTCTTTCAGAATTCCTCAATTTAATACAGGAGGAGAAATCATATGCAAATCATGGATTATTAGAATTTAGTGACCAAAGCAGACTGTTTGGAATTGTTAGCACATAGCAAGTTCAGTCCTGTGTCAAAACACTGCCTTAAATTCATGTTAGCAGTTCAATCCTCCTTGCAGTGCTAACTATTCTCTTTCAGAAATCACAAGCATTTCTTCCACGAGTCAGAAATCTCCCTGTGATTATCTGATTAGACACATGAGTAAGAGTTCGTGAGAGCCTTTTGGCTCAGGATACCAGGCACTGTCACAAACAATAAAGTTGCCTGTCTGAGCCCTACCAGCTCTTGCTTAAACTCTTCTGACTTGTCAAACAGCAGAACCATTTTAAGTCATTTACAAGAAGGCAATGTAATAAGGTTGTTACTTCAGTTATAAAAGCACCTGGATGACAAGGACATTTTATTGTTTTTTTTTTCTCTCAGTTCAACCCTTTACAGTATCTTTGGTTTAACTGATTCTGGATTTTAATGAAGAGCTGTAGCACTTATTATTTCTATTGAAAACCCTCATGGATATTGGAAAGCTCAAGCATGCAGAGGTGAGCTAACAGGAAGTGATGCAAAATTTTGAACAGGTAAAGTACAAGCTTAAACAGGACCACATTTTAACTTGTTCCATTACTACTAAATAACATCACAGGCTGTTTGTATCATGGAGTAAAATTATTTTTTTATATGCTATGTTACACAAAAGGTAAATGACTGAAATATTAAAATAATTTGTTATAGGGGAAGGACATTTTATCAGAATCAGCTGAAAGAAAAATGATACATCAAATTAGAGTGAAAATTAATTTATCTTAGTACTAGAACATCAAAGCCGTGTTACTGTTTGGTTTTTTTTATCCTATATGAACACAGTATGTCTATATTCTCTCCAAGGGTCTTGATATTCCTTTTTCTTCTGTTAGTATTGTACAAAGCATACACAACCTTGGATTGTATATTTGAATTACCCTTGCTCTTTCTGACTGATACTTAGTCAGAAGTGCTCAGCTTGGAGAAGCATTTCCTTAAATACCTTGGATCATAAAATATAAGCTGTAGAGAGAACAGGATATATAGCACCTATTCACTGTATAGTTTATTCCTCTATTTGTGTGCATTTTTAGAAGAGGAAAGATAGTTATGAACAGAGTTCTAGTGTATTTTGGAGACCATCATTGCACAGTTGCTTGCATAAAGGATTAAACCTTAAGGATAAATGAGAGAAGTATACATTTGCAGTAATCTCTGTGGGGAAGAAGGAATTCTGTTTTATGCATTTCTTTTATCCTGTCTCATGTCCTTTTTTATAGGATTTGCTTGAGGTCTGAGTTCTCATATGTAAATAGGTTTGTCTTGTCTCCAGTGCTTTATGTGGGTACACAATAGGACTTTTTTCCACTTATCACTAGCCAGTCATTCAAAAAGTCCTTTCTGTTACTGTTGCAAATGTAGGTCTGTTCTAGGCTTTCAATGTCCCTTCTTCTCATAGAGAATAAATACTCTTTTCTGTGCTTTCAAATGCGGGTGTGTATGGGCAGAACACATCAATCAGTATGAGAGAAACCAAGCTTATCTCGCTATTACCACAGATATTAATTTGTGTAAGCATCTGCTTGAAAGTATGCTGACTATGAAAATTTACAATTTCTTTTGCGAATTAGGAGTTTGTACAGATGAGTTTATTTTCCAGCAACAGATAATTCACCATGCCCATTCTCTCATTCTCTGTATTAAAGGCTTTCATTTGTAGGCAGTAATCATATTTTTGTTTCAGCTTAATGGTGTGTAAAGCAGTGTGTATGTCCTTACAAGAAGCCTGCAGTAGATGTGAAGAGGTACAGGCTGCCTTATTTAAAACTCTTAAATGCTTTGTGGTCTTGCAGCCAAGGAATTTGTCTGATGGATTTTCATTTTGCTGGCTTAGCAAGGCTGTTGCAGGGGTTAGCAGGGAATTGGAAGCATGCAACTTGGAGGATAAAAGTAGAGGACACTTTCTAAAGATCAAGTCACCATCTTCACAATGGATTCCTCAAGTAAAATCTTATATTTTCACAAAATCATATGGCTCGAATAAATAGTCATAGTTGAAAAATAACTGGGCATCAAATTGCCACTGCATGCAGTAAGAGCTGACAGGTCTCCTAATTTAGGAAAGGAAGCTTAAGTTTGGTCTCTCAGAGCCAGGATCTCTGCCTGCCAGTGAGAACATCTGTCAGGAGTGCCTATCCATCCCAGCGGCTGGCGGAAGGACCAGATGACCTCTGAGTTCACTTCTAGCCCTGTCTGATTATGTGAAAACAAAACTGTTCCCAAGGGAGTGGCAGAGGCAGCTGCCAGCTCAGGACAAAGAGCTGAGCCTTCAGCAGCAGCTGCTGCAAGGAGTTTAGAGGAGACAGCACTTTCCAATATAATGGCATGAAATGACAGATGGCACCTTCCACCCTGCCATTATGGTGAGGAAGGATCTGCGTGAGAGAGCTTCCTGTTTTGCCATCTATTGGGACATGTTGTAGAGGATTAGAAACACCTCTCTGAACTTTCTATCAAAGTGCTTGTGCAGCTGAATTAGATTAGAATCACCACGATGGCATTTTGTTAAATGAAAGTAGCTGAGTAACAATGAGGGAAGAGAGCTGTGGTCTCTACATGTTTCTGATGCTGTTTTATCAGGGGCATGACTCTTTTATTTAAGCTGATACAATCTGTCCTGTTGCGCAGTAATCAAGCTATTGTGGGGAGAAGGTGCCTTTCTCCCAGGTGGCCTTTTCTTTCAGTGTAGGACCTTTAAACAGGCAGAAGCTGTGCTATTTCATACATAGATAAGGCAGAAAATGCACAGGCTGTAAGAACAGGATTGACCTTCCCTCTCCTTCCATCTACACACACACATCATTTAGATAAATTGCACAATTCATTTGACCAGGAAAGTTTTTTAGGGAAAAATCCACTTAAAATGAAAGAAGTGTAAAAATACATTTGAAAAGATGTGTTTTAATACAAACTAACTGTTGTCATGTGGTTGTGTAAAGAAATGAATACCTGCCATTGTGTTCATCCACACCAAAGTTAATATGCTTCTCTAAAGAAAAGGTTTTGAATAATCTGTCCACCATTCCTGAAAAAATTCTTCATGAACCATCAGTATTTTATTTTCCCTTTGCTCTCTCCCAGGACAAAATGAGTAAGAGATGGATTGTGCTTTGCTTACTGTGCAACCCATCAGCCATTTTCACACTAATAAATAGAGAAACGTTCTTTTAGGGAAAGAGAGATTCCTGTTGTTGGAAAGATATATTAGGAGTAGGGTCAATGTAATACATTCCTTAGCCTGTAAAATCAAGCCATTTTTTCTGGTGCTGGTATGTGGCACATTATTATCAGTGGATGCTCTCAATGGAAAATGTTTTCTTCCTAGTTATTACTAGACTTCTGTTGGCTTTTGATTTCTAGTGATCAAAAGAACCCTGTAGTCCTACTGAGAGAAAGAGATGCTATCTCTGCTGTAGCCGACATGATATACATGTGGCTTTGAAAGTTAGAACCAAAGCTTTATACTGGAAGTGAAACACCAAAGAAAGGATCAAAGTTTAGGAGTGATGCATGTATGACAGCATCAGATGGGCTGCAGCATGCCTGGCAGGGAATCACGATAAAGGTAACACCCACAGATGCTTAGAGAGTGAATTAGCAGTTCTGAGGAAAGAGTGCAAGGTGAGTAGAAGTGCTTCTATGTTGCTGAGGTTTTGTTTTCCTGTTTAAGTTTGTGCAATATTATTGAATTTATTTACTTTAAAGGTACCAATGGTTTGTAATTTTAATTTTATGCAAGATCTACCAGTGCTTTCTACCTCAACCGCTTAGACTGTCAAATAAGGCACCTTAATGTTTCTTTCAGATAGCTGAAAGTAAGATCAGTTAATGTGCCAGCTCCCTCTCCTCCAAGTTTTTTAACTAATTTCAGATTTATTTTGGCACACAGCAGCTGCAGTAACTTGAAATTCATGATAAGAGATTAATGATTTGCTGTATATATTCCTAAAAGTCTTCAGATGTGTATGTTATAGAACCGTGTGCCAGCAAGGGTCAGAATTAAAGCTTCCCTTAGTATAACAAAGATTTAAACATGTCACCTTTAATATTCACACTCTCTGGCTCCTGGCATATCTGTTTCATATCTGACATTCGTGGTGTTGACTGACTCCCAACAACCTGCAGCTGAAAGGACTTAAAGCTTTTCATCTTTCTAAGCAGACATGAACAAATTAATCCGCCCCCAAATCCTGTGATGGTGGACATACAATCATTTTATGGAGCCACGTACATGACTTGCTCAAGGTCACCTGCCGTTGTTGGACTTAACAGCCAGGATTAGGATTCAGGTCTTAATTCAGGTCCCCAGTCCTCTGCTCAGATAGCTATGGCACGCACTTCTGTGCAGCTTATGGACAATACTTCTTTTGCCTAAAAATGTCCTCAGAGTTACAGTTAGAGGTTGTAAGAAATCAAGGAGGTCATCTGGATTTATTGCAGCAGCAGCCAGCACAGGTATAAACTCTGTGTGTTCACACTCTTATGCTACAATGTAAGGGAATTTAGATCACATTTTTGCCCGGGGAAAAAAACCCAAACAAACCCAAATAATATCATTGGCAGTGCTTCCTAGCTGCTTTGGAGACCTGCCATTTGTCTATGCTCAAAAAAGCTTTACAAAGGTAGGACAGCAGATCACGTTCAGGAAAAAGATTTTACAAAGCTCCTAATGTTCAGGTCTTCCTTCTAGCCACCTCAGTAATACAGTAAGCATTATTGGAAAGACTAAGAAGGTCCAAACAGCTTTATAAGAGGCAGGAGAGAAAATGGGAATCTTGTTATATACAGCTTTCTGCAAATTGTAAATGCAGAAACCTGTGTTTCAAATTAATTCAGCAACAAAAATCCTATTGATTTTTAGCAGTAGAGGAATGCATTCATTCTGTGTTTTGCCACGTGAATTTTCTCAGAGCTCAGCAAGGCTATTCAGAATAATCCCAGCTTGCAGGACTGTTTAGGTCTTAAAGAGATGTTGCCCTGAAATAATTTGCATTTTATAGCTTTCATGGTTCGTGTATTGAATTGACCTTGATACTGTCACCAAAACAAATATTTTGTGACCCGTTTTTCATCACTAATTTCATTCTGACATTTCTCTAAACTGAAAATGGATGTTCATTTTTAAATCTGTGATTTTACAAAACAAAAATTAATCAAAGAGTGCCTGTATGTTCCTTCCAGTTTTGAAAGCAATAGTGCTTTACTTTTCAACTCCAGATGGCACTGCGGTGCTTAACACCACCCCGCTGGGGAGGGCTGCTGGAATGCAAAAGCAGGCAAGCCCCTGAAAAACAAGGGGTTGCTTGTTTTATGAGAAATCAGCTAAGAGTTTTTCCATGCAGATGTCCTATTTTGCTTTCAGTTCAGTGAAGACTGGGCTAACAAATGGCAGCTTATATGCCTGAGATAGGATTTGTGGAAGAAAGGACTTGCTTGTCTGTACTTGCAGGAGGTCACAAGGGTAGTAGCCCTTGCCTGCACCAGCAAAGCCTAATGCAGCCCACAATACTGCCAAATGAAGGGAGAAGCTCTGCTGTTGCACAGCGCTTTGTATTCATGGTGACTAATCCTATCGCTGTATAACTGGTAATTCTGCTTTATAAAAATGTATTTTCAAGGCTGGACTGCAAACCATTGAAGTAACGAGGTTACTAATATCTTTTCTAGGGAAAGCTGTAGACTTTACTGCTTGGAAGACATCCTTTGCCATGTCATGGCATCACCTGACTATTACAAAAATGTCTACAATAAATAATATTCTTCCTTCATGTTCATCCATTGTAAACCGGGGAATAGGATGTTCAGATATTTGCTAAATGATACACTCACACGCGTCTATACTGCATCTTTTCTTACATATTTTTCTACAGATTCTATCCCCTTAGTTTTATAGCCATTTTAATTTTGTAGAAGTCTACCAGACTCCTGTCTTCTCTTTTAATGCTTCCCAGCTTTCACTGTAATTCTCAGTTTTGCAAAGAAAAATTCCTAAATGCTTGTTACATGACCTATGGACCCAGATGAAGTTCCCAGCTCCCACTGCGCAATCACTAAACCATTGCTCAACCCAAGTCTCAGTAACATCACTGGTTCTTCTGTGCATTTCATATAACAGAGTTCTGGAATTTGCTCCATAGGCCATGATATCCTGTTCAGTTCCAAGCAAAACTCAAAGAATTTACATGGGTTCATTTGCAGTATGTTGTATTTTTAACTGAAGTAAATCCTTTCCCATTAGTTAATGAAGCAACTGAAGACATATAGAAAGGGCAGGCAATTTGTCATACATCTTCCAGCACGGATGACTGTTTCATTACAAAAAGTTTATGGAAAAGAGATGAGCTCGTAAGACAAAAAAGAATAAAAGCGAGAGAGATATGACTGTTTAAAACAGGCAGGACCTTAAAATAGTCTTGGTTCTCTCTGAAGGACCATATGGAACACTTTTCCAAAAGCATAAAAAGTGCACACACCTGCCCCCACACACAGAGGGTGTCCTTAAGCTCCCCCTAGAGTTATAAATTATTAGTGTATTTGCCATGTTAGTTCTGGTAAATGAGTAGCTCTAACACCAAACAATCCTGAATGTCCTACATTACTAACGATGCCTCTGAAGACTGAGAACCTGTACCACACCTGCTTTTGTTCCATAGCTCTGTAGCTCTTAATTGTCTTCTCCCCCTCAAAGTTGTGTAAGGACAGTGGTGGCTCCTGACAGCATAGCTGATATGTTATCAGCCTGTGTGACACAACAGATAAACGTTTCTTCTTTCAGAGCGTGTTCATGTCCTTTCTAGGTCTTCTGAATAAAACTCAGATGTCCTGAAATAAATTCTTTTAAATTCAAAATAAACTTTAATTTAAGAACACTGTCTCCAAGTAAAATTTATATACATTGTATTTATAATTTTGCTGCTGACAAGGTAACATTTACATGTAGTAACTTGCATTACTCACACTTAAATAGGATCCACTCAGCATTAGACTGAAACCAGTGCCAGAGCAAATATCTGAAAAAAAACCCCTTTTGTGTATAACCATGACACATATGATGAAAACAAAAAAATATAAATATCTAACCTAATAAGAACAAACCAAAGCACCGTTGTTACATCATTAGAAAAACAGGATTGGCAGTAGAAACGATGTACATTTTCTGAAGAGACATACAGAGTTGTGGTGGGTTGACCCTGTCTGGATATCAATAAAGCCACTCTATCACTTGCCTCCTCAGCTGCGCAGGAAGAGAAAATGTAAGGAAAGGCTCATGAGTCAAGATAAGGACAGGGAGAGATCACTCACCAGTTACTTCATGGACAAAACAGACTCAACTTTGGGAAACTAGTTTAATTTATTACCAATCAAGAGTCTCACATACTTTAAAAGGCTGCAATTTGGGGTTTTTTGCTTTCTCTTACATGCCCAGGAAGCTATAAAGTGTAACACAAATGACACAAGTGCTGTCAGCCTCTGACCTAATAAAACAGAATCAGCAACCATTTGCTTTTCTGACCAAATAACTTATATAGCACAGGCAGTTGCATCAGACAAACATGTTTGATGTCTTCTATGGTCATAATCCAGACTTACTCTAAACCTGTTGGGAATTAGCTTGTTGCAAAACGTTTTTGATTCATTTTGCAAAACAGAGACCGGAGACAGTATCTGAGGAAAACGAAGAATGGAAGTAATATCTATGGATAGTGCAGCCTTCCAGAACTGAAGTAGGAGAATTAAACATTGGATGGAACGTAATGGAAACTGGTTTGCACAAAAGAAGTGGGTTTGTGTCCTAATTACTGTCCGGTGGAAACTCATTCTGCCAGCTCCTTTGTGGGCCATCTTCCCCTCTCTTTGCTTGCTGATGAAAAGGGTGCAAAACTTTGTTTCTTCACTAATTTAGGCCTAAACATTTTTGTTCATTTGTTTGTTTTTTTAAAGTACTACTCTGTTGCTGAACAGCCTAATATTTCACTTTTTGCTTCTGCTAAACCTGCTGCCAGATGAGGGCTGGGTGTGTGGGATGTGACTTAATATTAAATGCAGAAGTAGCGGTATCCTGAACAACCATGTATGTAGGGGATCAGAGTTCTTTTACTCTCTTTTCAGCTTTCAAAACAAAGCAGCAGCATTTATGAGATCACAGAAAATTTCAAGCCAGTTACAACTATCGTTCCTAGAGATTACTCTAGAACTAGATATTTTATTATTTTGGAGTGTTACATAAACATTCCGGAAAATGCTCTTCATTTTCCCACTGAAGTTTTATTGTGCAATACTTGCCTTTTCTCTAATAAACTGTTTGCACATGTTCACTTGTTTCTTTGAAAATCTGGTTTTGTGGAAATATAAATTTTAGCTTTTACATTTTTCCACTGCTTCCCTTCCTCTTAAGGGGACAATTCATCCTCCTCTTAATGCCAAAATGCAGTGATTGGTAGAAGTGCTGGGTTTTTTAAGTGTATCTGTTTTCTAACAGCCATAGCTATGCAGGCAGATTTATAAAATTATTAGGATGGCGACACGTTCCTATTTTTAATGAGAAAATAAACAAGCTAAGGCTGAAGTTTTATGGCTCATCACAGTAAAGAGCTAAACTTCTGAAGTTTCTCATTTTAACTCATTCTGAAACTGTCTAAACTCACCCAAGTTTTTGTTATCTATCACCTTTTTTATCATTATGAAAACAGTGTCTTTAGAGCCTGCTGGCAGAGATCATTCTTAGAAAATGATAATTATAGTGTTGGTATTTCTTCATATCTGGGCTGACCATTTCACACATCCCATCCCATTTTCTGGAACAAGCAGACCACACCATTTTCCAAAATTAATCCAAAGAAGATGGCAAACCAAGGGAGTATTCGATTCAAGTTCAATGTAACTGCAAAAGAAAACAGAACAAATTTATCACATACCATTTAAGAACATCATAGAAACCATGTGAGAATTCATATTCATTTGCATGTATAAGAAATCACACAGATCTGCATTCCAAAGCCATGCATAAAATTAACATGAAATTTTGATTTTCCAGAAACTCCAAGAATTCTATTTTATGTTTTAATGATTCATGATGAATTGTCTCAAATTCTAATTATGGATCTAATGGATATAACACAGCATATACAAAGGGATAATAGTGAGATGAGGTGCTTTTTCTTTTTTTAATAAAGTTTTTTGTTTCAATCACTTTCTATTAAAGTCTAAAGTTTTAAGCTAGATCTATCAGTCACATCTCTGATATTGATTAAAAATATAGAAAGAATAATGACTTCTGTAACACCTGCAGTCTCTCACACACATTCTATACACATAAAAATAAAAAAAGCAAAAATGTACCTCTAATTGCCTGAGAGTTTGATATCAAGACAAACACTTTTATAAACGCAAGGCACAAAGGTGTGTAGTCATGTTCCCAAATAACAGCTGGGATTAGCAAAAGCTTTCCATAGGTGGACAACAGCAGTGCTTTGAGAAGTAAAATGAAGTCAGACTTTCTTTTCAGCATTTCAGGTGTCATCCACCATAAGGTAATAAAAATGCCAATGAAAAATGAAGTTTGTTCTAAAAGGGAATAAAAGGAGTTGGAAAGAGAGAATGAAGAACAAAATCAATACTTGTCTTCTTTGAAAAGGTCACCAGCAATGAACCCTTTTCATCCAGCATAAGAAAAAATACTAAGGTGAAAACACCATTGAGCTACTAGACTTTTTTTGACACCATATTCCTGTGTTATGGTGGAATTAATGCAGATGTCAAAGACCCTCTCATAACAACTGTAATAGATGAGTTACTACTGAAAAATGAGTTCAACATTTTTACTGACATGTTATAGGCAACATTAGACAATATATGATTTAAATTAAACTCTGAATGTCTAAGAGAAATACTAGTTTTAATCTGCAAGTTTGATGTAAACACTATCACCTGAAAAGTATGAGAATAAATGCATTAACCAACATAAAGCAAAAACCCTCTCCTGCCCTCAAATGTAGTCTTAGAGCACAGATGTGTTTACTCTTTACTGGTCTGTATTTTTGCACATTTGTTTAAAAAAACCCCAAACCAACAGATACAGCTTTTTCCAATTGTTTACTTTTGTAAGGCTCCTTAATGTTGTATCACCTTAATGAATAATAAACCTTGAAGTCCACATCAAATATGGAATAAGGCTGACACCTACATTAATCTTCAAACTATATCAATAGATTAAGGCAAAGATTTCTGAATATTGCCACTTTTCAGTGTTTTCATATCTAATGCTAATCATACCAGTCTGAACTGTAATCAGGATCAAAACAGGCATTTAATTAAATGAAGGCAAATTTGAGAGCATGTGTGTAATAGTGTAAGCATACAGGGTTTGACATAACATTGATTCTGTATGTATTTTTGCAATATGGGCTTGAAAGACTGATGAAGATTTGCAATGCTTAAAAAGTAGACAGTGACATATCATCAATCTTACCTAAAGAAGCTATGCCAAACATTCTATAAAAATCCCATTCTTTGGCATATCTGATTAAGTCATCAGGATCTGTATTTTGGCTTGAATCCTGTAGCTGCAACCACCTGATATAAGCTTCACAGAGCAAACAAAATATGCAGAGCTTTCCATGAATCTAGTAAATGAACAAATAATAAAAGCATTAGTATTGAAGCAGCATAAATTAAAGCATTAGTATGAAATCGGTATTTAAAATATATTTCAACATCTTTACACAAACAAGCTCCATAGGTTTATTATTTTTCTTTAGAATATAATCAAAACTACTTCCGTTGAATCACTAGTTTAGCACATCATCCTTTTAATATCAGTTACGTCAACAGACAAATTACAACGTAGAAAACTGCATGAATAGTTCAATATAGAAGAATGTATACAACTGTGGTTTCTAAAGTCTGATCCATACTTTTCTAAAATTGGGAAGGCTGTTTCATCTACGAATGCAAAACCAAAATTGTGCCAGCTAGGAGAATTATACTATCCAAAATTCCAGTTTAAGGGCAACTCTCCCATTTGGCAAACTCGTTTATATAGCCTTGTTTTTCATTGGGACAATCTCCATTAGAAGAAACTAGTAGTGTAGTTATACCAAAATATTTCTTAGTTAGTAAAGGGTGAGGCGCCAAAAATAAATGGAGCAATACAACCAAACAAAAATATCCTCTGAAATGACTGCAAAAATGATGTTGTGAGGGCCCAAAGTTAGCATGTTTCCACATTAAACAGCTTATAAACTGTGTGTATGTGAGGTGATTTCTGATTTCATAGAGATTTAAAGGCATAAATGAAATTTCTGTGCATGGATTCTATTTTTTCCATTAGAGGTGAGTTATGCCAATTGCATGTACATGCCCAGGCTTAGCTAGTTTAAAATTCAACTCGATTTATTTGAATAGATGACATTTCCACAGATAGAACAGTTCTTCCAGAACCCTCACAGTAAACATCATTACCAGTCCCAGAAACACCAAATTAATAAAAAATATTCAGTGAGATTTATGCTTGAGAGATGAGGTGAGTATATATATCAACATTGCTTAAACTGGACTGGCTAAGAGGCATCAACATGAACCCAGCACACACTTATGCTTGGATAGTTTGCTCTAGATTAGCTGCCCTCTCCTGGGAAATCAATCCTTACAGTAAAACTACACAATTCTGTCAGAAAGTATACACCTGTACACTACAGCCTGGCCAGCCCAACTAAGTTGATTATGTAACTCTGCATCAACAACATTTGAATCTTTTGCTGTAGCTTTGAGAGCATGGTTAATTAATCAGGAAGAAACTCATGAGAAATTAGTACAGTAGGTTTAATTGCCACAGTATTGTTAATATGGTATGTTCTACTCCTATAGCTCACTTCAGAAAGAATTGTTTCCAATTGTTTCTAATTTGAAATTAGATCTTTCTCTTACAATGTAATTTAGCACATCATCCTTTTAACATCAATTAATGTGATAGGCAAACTGGGGGGTTTAGAGAACCGTATGAACAG